AATGGCATTTATTATAAGATCAATGAAAGTAGTTAATAATGCATAGCTTATTAGTTATCACAGAAAATAAATACACTGTGCAGCTGAAAAGTGTACATCACCATATATTCAAAGCAGCTGCAGAATTCAGACCTGGGCTGCTGCATTAGAAAGACAACCAAGAGAACATATTCCTGAAAATGCCAATCCTACACAGTATTTAAAAAAAAAAAAAATCAGAATCACACAGTCAAAACTGTCAAATTTTATTAGTTCTGTCAGTCTACAGGATAAAGTACCTAAGAAACAAAACATACAAGTACTTTTTCCCCCAGAAAAGCTGAAATTCATACTCCTGTCTCTCTTTTAGATATTATTTGATTCTCTATGTGTCAGAATCAAATCATGATTAATTCTAGTTATGCCACTCTCACTTTCTTCAGGCTTTTTATTCTTTCCTGACTAATTACTTTTTTCCAGCTGGCACATGAAAAAACAAGTTTGCTATTTAATTAAAGGACAGACACTCTGTTCCTTAACCATAGCTTACACATACAGACAGCAGGAGAGAAAGGTTGAAAAAATGAGTGCACTGATGAAAACACTACATTGGTGTCTTGGAAGCATCATCAGTCAGTACATCTTTTCTCTTAGCACCATTCCTGAAGCCACCAAGATGACATACTTTAGCCTCTGCTATAATTTGATTTATGTTGCTTCTTAAGCACTTTCTACTTCATCTTGTCTCTTCACAGAGTATGACTGACTCAACCCCTCAGTGAAGTCAAGTTCAACAGGACAAGTAAATTCACAAAAACCCAGTGGATAAACCTGAATAAATCTGGGTTTTGAGTAAGGAAGTGCCAGCAAGCACTTCCACAAATTAAGAGAAGTTGTTCAAGAAGAATCAACATTACGTGCAAGGAAATGAGTCCCAAATATTTTACAACAAAATTTTTGCTGCTTATTAGAAGTAAGTCTCAGCACCCCTCATCACCCAGGGCCATCTATCACAAAGCAGGCAGGTCCTGCTGCATGCTCCATTAATTATGTTCCAGGAGATCTCTCACTGCACATTTATGGAGGTGAGACAGGAATGCAGCTCCCCATGGCAACTAACAGGCTCATCGTCAAAATTTCCTGCAGCTGATCCTGGCCATTGTCATTATTTTTTTTTCCACCTCTCCAGTGAAGAATATTTTCTTCCCCTCATTGTAGTGATAGGTGATTAATGCTGTTTTAATTGCCACCATGCATTATTTGAGAGCATTCATAGCCAAAATACTGGGAAAGGTGGTCTCAGCACCAGCCTAGGACAATGTGAGATCAATGGATTAATTGCCTGGCCCTGCCACACATGTCCTGTGGGACATAAGGCCTCCAGCTGGGCAGAAGCCAAAACACACTAAAAGCTAAAGAAATAAGGGGAAGCCCTACAGAATTAGCACAGTTCAATAATCCAGTATCAAACCTATCTTGCAGTGACAGAACGCTACCAATGGATGTAAGCTTTTCCCACACATTTTCTCGACAATCAGCTCATACATCCAAAAGCGTTCTCATTTTTTAAAAGGAAGGAAGGCCTTTAAAAGGAAGGAAGGTGAGGAAACTCAGAGAGCCTTGTGGTTGGAAAAGTCAGACTACACATCATCAGTGCCTCAAAGCAGCATCCAAACCCAGCGGGAGCCCGAAGCCAAGCAGAAAAAAAGAGCAGGGAATTTCTTGGGCTCTCAGTACCTCAGGAATCCAGAGGTCTGCAGGAGCCAACAGGAATTGCTGAGGCCTGAAACCCTCTCCTTTACCATGATCCAGAGGCGCCCCTCTCCTTGTGGGATCCACAGCCTGGAACATTCTCCTGGAGACAGATATTTACTCCTCTTCTTCCAAAACTGAGCAAAACTGCTGTCTTTTAAAATATAGACTGAGGAGCAAGAATTGGAGCAGCAGTGCCCAACTTCCCTGCTCCCATCCCACCCTACAGCACAAGCCCCACATGCACAAGAGAGGTTCAGTTTCCTCTTCTGACTAAGAGGGATCAAAGCTGAAAGCACAGCCTTCATGCTTACATCCAACAGCTGTTTATGGCACTGAAACCATTCAGAGACAAGGAAGGTGAGGGCAAGGACACAGGCTTCTTCCAGCTCCAAGAAGTGTTCCAAGCATTTGGGACCCACTGACAGAATGTAGTTCCAACAACTCTCAAAGTCTCTTTGTACAGGGAGGTGTGGAAAGAAACTCCTACCCTCACCTAACACCTCTCAGCATGCTCACCTGGACACAGGGCCACAGATCCTCTGTCTCATAAAAAGGGATGGTTTACATCTCCTGAACTACACCAGAGCAAGACTTCCACACTCAGGTTGCAGTAGATATAAACCTGGCCCAACACATGATCTGGACACTGAGCATGTAAAAATTTCTGCTCTGGCAAGTGACGAAAAAATACTCCAAAATTCAAGAAACAGCCTCTGCTTTGAAATCGCCCTCAAAACTCATGTGTTGAGCTGGATCAACCCTTCAAGGAGTGATGTCCCTGACGTGACAGACTTGCCCTGCTTGGAGAGGTGCTGTGCACTTTTTTACCTTATTTATAGAATGGCCTTGCTCATGTTTCATTCAAGAAACAATTAGCCTTTGCCAGCTTAAAATAAACAGGACTCTCTCTCTCTGCTGAACAGTCATTAGCCCTGAGCTGTATTTCAAATTGTTGAAACAGCAGGAGACTCCCCAGTGGGCTCAGTAGTGTAAGAGAGGTGCTGAGCGAGAGCAATCCGAGCAAGAGTAATCAAACAAGGATTCCCATCAGTCAAATGAAGCAAGTAATCATTCCCAACCCTACCCCACTTCGTCCTCACCAACTAGGGGAACCTTTGGATAGTGAGGCCTCCTCTTTCCAAAAGTTTGCAGAGAACCTGCAGGCATGCAGAAGGTGCAGGAGTTCAGCAATTGTTACACACCAAAAGTGCAGCTGGCCAAGCTTTTTCCCTGAATATAAGAGGTTTTTCTGCCTCCTGTGTTGCTGCAGCCAGTCCAAAGGCAGCAACTGAAAGAACTGGCGCAGATAATGTCACTTGGCATCACAGTTTTAAATTTCAGTCCAAGCTCTTGTACCACCAACAGAGGGGTCAGCATTCCCATTGAGTAGCCATGGGAGTTTTCCAATGGTGACTTCTAGCTTCCCAGAGCTCCTCCACTGCAGCCTCCTGGTTCTGCAGCTGCCTTTACCATGCCACAGAGCAGGGCACAAAAGGCCAGTACTGAAAAGCCAACAGAGGTACATCAGCATTCTTGAACTCCTGTCTCATCCCAGGTAGTTTTCTTGGCTAAAAGAGAGCCTGGATAGAACATGTTGGCTCGAGCTCACTTGTTTCTTCTAGTAAAGAGCTCCCATGTGCCCTAGGCAAGCCTGGATCTTGGCTTCTCCTCTATAAAACTGGGAGTAAATGTTCTGCCTTAACTCGGAGGGATCAGAGGAGGATCAGCAGTCTGAATTCTGTGACAGGAAGATGCCAACACGTTATTCAAGTGACAGTTGTACATGCACCAGTCACAGCAGGAACATCCACGACACCAGCAGGTGTTCTCAAAAAGGAGGAACACAATGAAAAGCAAAAGCACGGCATACTCAGCTTCCTCCGGATGACAGAACCCAGCGATGAGACACAACAACACCACCAACCAGCAACAGACCGTGCCAGCAAAAAGGAAGTGCTGGGGAGAACAAGAATAAGAAACAATATCCAGCAATTAATGGCTGCAGAAAGCAAAAGTTTTCAGACGGAATTTAAAGTTGTAAGAGTCAGCAAAACAAAAGATGTGAGACAACGCGGGGAGTCACGGAGAGATGAGGTGCCAAATCAACAAACAGAGGAACACACCATGGAAAAACACTTGTCAACAGATCAAAAGAGTGAACAGCAAGGATTGGATGCAATAATAAGATTTCAAAAAATATAAAAGACCTTGAACACCAGCTCTTTTCCAGTAACAGCAGCACACCAAGTTAACCTAGGCATTCATTGTTTGCATTTTCACACCATCAGTCTCCCCATCACAGGGATCTCAGAATACAGGGAGCCTAACACAAACATGGGAGCGATACCCAGGCACACATTAACTCGACCTACTAAGTTTCACTGCTACTCCAAGGGTACCACTAATGTTTAAGCAGATATTTACTAGAGTCCGACCTGCCTTGCCAATCGTGTCACTTACAACCATGCAGCACAGGAGCTGTTTCCAGAGGTAAAGGTTTCAGGACATGCCACAAAGTCACTGAAGCTCCTGCAGCTCTCCTACAATCATCAGAGGGAAGCACTATGCCCTCCGGATAGGTCACTGCAACCGAACTACAGGATGGTTTTAAAAAATGTATCAACGTAAAGAAATGTATCACTGTCATTCTGCGCTGAGACTTTCCCTCCTGGATGCCAGAAGGGTGATTTGAAGCGGTCACTGTAAATAAAAACCTGAAACAAGCAGCGGTTCGGTGAAGTAAAATGCATCTTTTCACCTTGCAAAGAGAAAGAGCTCACGGGAAATGGCTCATCCCCTTGAAGTTAAACATCTGATTATAAATATCACTGACAACCAAATTGTGCTGGACACCAACCTGAAATAAAGGGATGCACATTTAACGAGCAGGCTACGACGATAAGCAAGAAAGCAAAGGCTTTGCCTTTTACGTCTTTGTCAAAAATTCTCGGACGGGCAATTAAACCCAATTAATTAATTAAAAGGTCAGCTATACATAAAGACCGTAGGAAGGCGTTTGGGCAGGGCAGAGAGCGGGCTCTGGTGCCGCGCTCGGGCAGCCCCGGCAGGAGCCGAGCGGGGATCCCGGCACCGCCGGCGGCACGGCGGCCGCCCGGGCCCCGCTCGGGAACTTCTCTCATCCCCTGCCGCTCCCCATCACTTCCTACTTTCCCCGCTCCGCCGAGCAGCGCTGCCGCCCCTTCCTGTGCCGCCGCCGCCGCCGCCGGCGCTGCCCGCGGGCCGGCTCCGCGCTCGGCTCCACTCACCCCAGCGTGCTGATGAACCCATTGACGGAGCCCTCCGCGTACAGGGACACGATGTCCCCGATGTACAGAAAGCTGGACATTTTCTCAGACATTCTGGTTCATTTTCCAGCTGGGTTCCGCGCTCCTCCCCTTCGAGGTGAAAAAACAAAAATTTTTAGAAAAACCTAAAATGAAATCACAGCGAATGACAGCGATCCCTGGGGGAGCCGGCGGCTGATGCGGGCGGGCGGGGGGCTGAGCGCGGAGGTGCCGAGAGGGCTGTGACAGGAGCGCGGTGCGCGGCTCTGCACGGCCCGGCCCCCGTCCGCCCCCCGCGCCTCCGCCCGCCCCTGCCCCGCCCCGGGCAGCAGACCGAGCCCCGGCTGGGGACCGAGCCCCGGCTGGGGACCGAGCCCCGGTTCCCCGCCAGGCCGGAGAGGGGCTGCTGAAACCCACGGTCAGTGATTCCCCGCGGGCGCAGCGGCTGAGGGGCGCAGAGCCCAAGCCGGGGCCGTGAGGGGACGGCACACTCCCCACAGCTGAAAGTGTGTGCTTGGTGTGGTCGCCAAAAGTGTCACCCTCTATTTGATGGCTTGCAAACTTCAGGAACCACAGGTCTCGTAGTTAATGTTTTTAATGAGAAGAAGAGCATTCTGCGGTGCTGTGCAGGAGGTCACAGAATCACAGGATGGGTCAGGCTGAAGGGGCTGCAGTGGATCAGCTGGTGCCGTCTCCGTGCTCCAGCAAAGCACGGAGATGGCATCACCAGGGCACTGGGCACAGGATTGTGTCCAGAGGGGTCTGGAATATCCCCAGTGAGGAGACTCTACACCCCCACTGAACTGAACAATCTGCTCAGTGCTGGGTCACTGCCCAGGACAGAAGTTGTGCCTCCTGCCCAGGTGGAACCTCCTGGGCTCAGTCCCTCCCCGTGGCTCTGGTGCCATTGCTGGGCCCCCAGAGCAGAGCCTGGGCCCTGCTCGGAGCCCTCCCTGCAGCCAGGGACACCCAGGGCTGAGGGCCCCTCTCAGCTGGGGCTCCTCTCACCACAGAAGCATACATTTCCATAAGAAAATTACCACCAAATTTAACAATAAAAAAACCCACTCTCGATGTAGAGAGCATCTGGAAGCCCTCTGTTCCCAGGCCACTGCAGCTATCCCAGGCAGAGCTGCCAGGGCTCCCCCCATGCCCGGCTGGAAGGGGCACGGCTGCCAGAGAGGCTGCAGCCTCACCTCGGTGGCCAAAGGGGCTCGAGGGGCTGCACAAACCCACAAATTCTGCTTCAGTTCCCTGCCCAAAACCGAGGACCAGCCTGCCAAACCACGCAGCCAGTATGGGATGGAAGTGCTCAGTTCTAAGGTAAGGCTATCCCCAGCTGGGGACTCTAGTTCTTAGAAATACTGTGCATTCTTTAAACAGAAATGTGATTTTCACTAACAGTTCCAAGAATCAAACTATTTCTACTTTTTATGATTTTGCAGGTGTAATTTACCTGAGACAGCTCTCCAAATTACAAGCAAACTCAGTAATAGTATTTGTTAACCACTGTATTTTTTAAAAAATACTGTTTGGAATTTTAAAAATAACAAAGAAATTATAAGAATTATAAGAAATTTATAAGAAATTAATTATAAGAGTTAAGAAGTTATAAGAATATTAATCTAGTCACAGGAGTGTGCAGACCGCTGGTTGTGAGTGACAAGCTGAGGGTTTCACACTTAAATTTAATCTCTCAGATCTATAACTTCCAGTCTTATTGCACTTCCGAGCATAAATTGTTGAGATAAGAAATGAGTTTCTAACTTTAAAAAAAAGGGTCTTAGCATCTAGATGTATGCTATGCCATTCTAGAGGTCCCTCTTTTGCTCTCTTCTGGTGAATATATTGGATTTGCCACTTTCTTTTGTACCCACTGGGATACAAAAATGCCAGCAAAGACCCCTCTTATGGAGACAGGCTGAGAAAGTGGGATTTGTTCAGCCTATGGAAAAGAAGGCTCTGGAGAAACCTTATAGCACCTTCCAGTACCTAAAGGGGGTTTACAAGAAAGCTGGAGAGTGACTTTTTTAAAGGGCATGGAGTGATAGGAGAAGGGAGAATGGCTTTAAACTGAAAAAGAGTGGATTTGGATTGGATATTAGGAATAATTTCTTCCCTGTGAGGGTGCTGGCTCAGGGTGCCCAGAGAAGCTGCCCCATCCCTGGAAGTTCCCTAGGCCAGGTTGGACAGGGCTCTGAGCAACCTGGGAGAGTGGAAGGTGTCCCTGCCCATGGCAGGGAGTGGCACTGGATGGGCTTTGATGTCCCTTCCAACCCAATCCATCCTGTGATTCTGTGTACACTCATATACAGCCCCTATGTCTGACACTTCCCAAGTTTTTCCTGGAGTCACCAGAGTTGTTAAATCCTTCCTGGAAATGCCATATGAAGAGAACAGGTGACAGAGCCAGCCTTTGGACCAGAAAACCAAAGATGAGGCCCTTCAAAGTGCCCCAAACACACGCAGCAAACCCCAAAGCTGGAATAATTTAAAACTTTAATTAAATTAGACCAGAATTAGATCAGAATTAGAAACTGAAAGTCCAAGCAGCACAAGGCACCAGAGGGCAGAGAGGCTCTGGCTCCCTGCCCACGTGCTGACTGAGTGAAAAGCATTGACCCAGGGGCCCTCCAGGAGCCACCACGCAGAGGCCTCCGGTGTTTTATTTCTTGGAAATGCAGCTCTGGATAGCTTGAGCTGAGCAGCAAAGGCTTTACAATGCACTGACAATATCCTTTGCCCTCCTGACCCTGTTTATCTCAGCCATTTTATACCAGGCTCTAATGGCCTAATTAAGACACTTTAGCCAGAGCAGTTTCACATTTCCCAGCAGTAAATGAAATCCGGGCATGCCTTAGATCAGTGGGAGTATTCCTGAGAATGAACTTCAGAACTTGGCCAAGCAGCAGGCCTGGGTGTCCTTGGTATGCCTGGGAGCAAAACCCCATTTGGGACCATTCTGTCAGGAGGGGACAGCTCTGTTGGCTAAACACAGGTAATTGGGGCTTTCTGAAATGTCCTTTGGCACCGGAGACATGCCTGTGGGTTGTCAGCAGCGAGGCAGTACTGCTGTGTCCTTGACAGCTCTGCCTGCATGGGGAGAAAGGGGCCCACAGGTTTTGCCACTACAAGAAGGTTAATTCAGGTCACTTTGGAAAATATTTGGCACATGCTTGCCATGGCAAAGTTGGAAACTGATAGGAGTCCTACACCTGCAGTCATCTCTGCTTCTTTTCCCCTCCCCAAGGGAATCAAGGCACAGGCTGCCTTCCCCTTCACTTCTAGGATTGTTCATCTTGGCTCAGGCTGGATGGTGCCAGCAGCTGAACGCAGTTGCCACCTCATAGCTGTCCAGTGGTAAACATGGAATGAACTGGAAATCTCAATCCAAGCAAGGAAAGCTGTTAACTAGAAATGAGTCCTATGAAACAGCAGTTTTGCAGGAAAAGTCACATCCCAAAGGCAGTCAAGTATTTAGGCTTCATTTTAAACCTGTGCCATTGAAACACCCTGATAATCTCAGGTGATTTGTATGCTCAAAATAAGCCAGCACTTACCCACTTTTGTAGACCAGGTCTTAAATTGGTAGAAAGATCACCCTGGAAAAGCAGATCTGAGGAACCCTTGTTCTTCTTCTCCTTGGAGACAGGAAACATAAGTAGTGACAATCCTCCAGCATTTTTAATAAGTATTAACTCTCTTCTATTAAAAATAATGATTATGCCTCTTTGAATGCTAGTTTTAGAAGATGGTATCTGGAAAAATTTAATGAAAACGAAAGAGATTTTGTCATAACAAGTCTACATAGAAAAAGATAGAAAAGGGCCAGATATCATAATGGAATATTGCTTCATTTTTCTGGAGCAGAAATATACCAAATGGGTTATTTGGATAAATATGTATATTTTTACTACATTTTTAACCTTGTAATTAGCTGCAGGGTGAAGGTGAGGCTGCTTAGTCGATAACTTGGATATGTTTTCCATCAGTTATCTCTGGTAATCTTTTGTTCCAAAGCTGGGAATACAGGCTTTGCTGTGAAACAGGACCCAGATGCAGGAATCATCAGCTGGTGCTGACAGACTGCCCTGGTGCAGATATTCCTCTGTACATTGTAAAAGTGAGGAACTCTTCCTTTCTCAACTCTCATTTCTAGTCTATTTCTTATTTTCAGGGAAGAAAATATTCAAGCAATTTCTGCAGTGGTACTCTGACATTAAGTCTCTTTATAGAAGCATTTGACTATATTTTAATGCAGGCAAATTTTACCTTGATGTCTAGGTCCTAGATTTTGATGTTCATTCCAGTGCTGAGGCACAGAGGAGAAGCAGCTTATCCACAGAGAGTTCAACACAAACACCTCATTGCAGCACTGAGAATCCACCTTAGATGTGAAAATACACAATATTGGAGAGTCCTCAGACTCCAAAAACTCACCGAGTTAAACAGGCCGATGTCATCCTATTCCTGCTCCTTTTCCACCCCTCACATCTTAGGGAGATGTCTGAAATTCCTGCTCACCTTGTCTAAACAGGGGAGGCTCTTGACAGAAGCTGGGCTTTTTATGCATTTGTAAATTGTCTGATTGGAAAGGTTTTCATCTCACTCCTACACAGCCTCTCTGCTGGATGAAGTTACAGATATATGGGCCACTCACGGAACCAACCAGAGGCTTATACAACAGGCAGCATTGATGTTTGTTTTCTTGAGAGCAGAGGATAGTGCTTTCCAGCTGCAGGGGAAGAGGGGGAAGAGAAGAATGCCTTTAACTGTTTTAATACAATAGATGTAGATGGGAGCAGGCCAAAATCCAGATAGGCACCCCAGAGCTTTAGCATGAAGCTATATGAAAGTTTGGACTCAAAGCTTTGGGTTTGTTTCTTATCTTTCTAATAGACAAAGGGAAAAAAAAGAAGAACAAGCCATTCCAGACATGTTGGTATTTAAAATCCAACTCTGATTTTATAAGCCCATCTGTAGCTGGAGTATATGTAATAAACTTATCTCAAGCAATGCACAATTAACAGCTTACTTAAGGAAGGCCTGGGTTTTCAAGGCATCCGATGAAGTTTCCCACAGCAGCTGAAGACACCCATTAACTTGTGGATATTCATATTTGAGCCAGCCAAGCTCTTCCCTGAGCACAGTGGCATTTCAAAACAGTGGGATGTATAAAATCAGCATGAGTTGGCCCACGAGTTGGATCAGAGAGCCCCAGAACAGCTCATTTTGACAGT